ATTCTCCCAATCCTCTTCTGGATCATCCAAATGCACTCTAGCAAACTTCAGACGGGCCTGGACATGTACTGGCTTAAGCAGGGGGACACGTCTGGTACTACAGGATTTGAGTCCCTGGCGGCATAGTGTGTTACTGATGGTAGGCTTTGTTACTTTGGTCCCAGCTCTCTGCAGGTCATTCACTAGGTCCCCCCGTGTGGTTCTGGGATTTTTGCTCACCGTTCTTGTGATCATTTTGACCCCACAGGGTGAGATCTTGCGTGGAGCCCCAGATCGATGGAGATTATCAGTGGTCTTGTATGTCTTCCATTTCCTAATAATTGCTCCCACAGTTGATTTCTTCAAACCAAGCTGCTTACCTATTGCAGATTCAGTCTTCCCAGCCTGGTGCAGGTCTACAATTTTGTTTCTGGTGTCCTATGACAGCTCTTTGGTCTTGGCCATAGTGGAGTTTGGAGTGTGACTGTTTGAGGTTGTGGACAGGTGTCTTTTATACTGATAACAAGTTCAAACAGGTGCCATTAATACAGGTAACGAGTGGAGGACAGAGGAGCCTCTTAAAGAAGAAGTTACAGGTCTGTGAGAGCCAGAAATCTTGCTTGTTTGTAGGTGACCAAATACTTATTTTCCACCATAATTTGCAAATAAATTCATTACAAATCCTACAATGTGATTTTCTGGATTTTTTTTCCTCAATTTGTCTGTCATAGTTGACGTGTACCTATGATGAAAATTACAGGCCTCTCTCATCTTTTTAAGTGGGAGAACTTGCACAATTGGTGGCTGACTAAATACTTTTTTCCCCCACTGTATCTATGAGGGTGCCCATGTTTACAGATTTAGGGTTGTACCTGGTAGGTTCGTTGATAATTTGTGTGAGATTGAGGGCATCTAGTTTAGATTGTAGGTTGGCCGGGGTGTTAAGCATATCCCAGTTTAGGTCACTAAGCAGTACGAACTGAGGATAGATGGGGGGCAATCAGTTCACATATGGTGTCCAGGGCACAGCTTGGGGCTGAGGGGGGTCTGTAGCAAGCGGCAACAGTGAGAGACTTATTTCTGGAAAGGTGGATTTTTAGAAGTAGAAGCTCAAACTGTTTGGGCACAGACCTGGATAGTACGATAGAGCTCTGCAGGCTCTCTCTACAGTAGATTGCAACCCCACCCCCTTTGGCAGTTCTATCGAGACGGAAAATGTTGTAGTTGGGGATGGACATTTCTGAATTTTTGGTGGCCTTCCTAAGCCAGGATTCAGACACTGCTAGAACATCAGGGTTGGCGGAGTGTGCTAACGCAGTGAATAACTCAAACTTAGGGAGGAGGCTTCGGATGTTAACGTGCAAGAAACCAAGGCTTTTACAGTTACAGAAGTCAACAAATGATAACGCCTCGGGAGTAGGTGTGATACTGGGGGCTACACGGCCTGGGTTAACCTCTACATCACCAGAGGAACAGAGAAGGAGTAGAATAATGATACTGCTAAAGGCTTTAAGTAATGGTCTTCTAGTGCGTTGGGTACAGAGAAATAAAGGGGCAGATTTCCGGGCATTGTAGAATAGATTCAGGGCATTATGTACAGACAAGGATATGGAAGGATATGAGTACAGTGGAGGTAAACCTAAGCGTTGGGTAACGATAAAAGAGATAGCATCACTGGAGGCACCGATTGAGTCGGTCTCCGTGTGTATGGGGGGTGGGACAAAGGAGCTATCTAAGGCAGGTTGAGCTGGGCTGGGGGATCTACAGTGAAATAGTACAATAAGAAATTACCAAAACAGCAATAAGCAAGGCATATTGACATGGGAGAGAGAGCTAAGACAACAGCTGGTAATGGCGACAAAGTTTGGGCTGAGGCTAGACATAAACAGGATGCGGTACCGTATAAAGGAACAGTCCAGCAGGCATCAGCTGTATAGCGGAGTTATCATATGGTCCGGTGAACAGCAATAGGAGAGTTCGGAGGTAGTTCGGGGGCTGCTACAGCACTGGCGAGCAAGAGGCCACGGCTTGCGTGTACTAGCGGGCTGGGGCTAGCAGATGGATCTTCGTGGTCGACGTCGTAACGGGAAGCCTGTTGAAACCACATCAGACGATTTTGTCGGCAGACCAGTCGTGTTGGATCGGCGGGGCTCCGTGTCAACACTAGGAGGTCCCGTCCGGTTGACAGAGAGGTAGATAGCCGGGAGATAGGCCTGGCTCGAGGCTAGCTCAAGGCTGATTAGCCAACAACAACAACATCCATTTGGTTGCAGCTAGCTAGTTGCGATGATCCGGTGTTAAAGGTCCAGTGATTCCGGCAGAAAAAACTATATGTTCTGGGTCGATAACGCGCTGTGCAGACAGTGCTGACTGGCCGATAATAGTCCAGGCTAGAGCTGGCTGGTAGGTAGTGTTGGCCACAGACACTGGTGAAAAACCGCTAACGGTGGCTAATAGCAAGTAGCTAGTTAGCTGGCTACTCCCATCCGGTAGACAGAGAGGTAGATTGCCGGGATATGGGCCTGGCTCGAGGCTAGCTCAAGGCTAACTGTTGCTTGCTTCGGGGGCAGTGGTGATTAGCCAACAGCAACATCCATTCGGTTGCGGCTAGCTAGATGCGATCCGGTGTTAATGTCCAGTCATTCAGTTATGCAGAAAATCCGATGTTCTGGGTGAAAACCGCTAACGGTGGCTAATAACAAGTAGCTAGTTAGCTGGCTAGCTAGTTTCAACTGGAGATTCTAGATAAAAGGTAAGTCAATAATAGAATCTGTTCCACATTGAGTGAGGCGGGTTGCAGGAAAGTATATTTTGTAGAAGGATGAAAAGTTTGATAGGGAAATGTATGAAAAATACAAAAAAATACAAATACCAGGCTATTTACACGGACACACAACAAAGAACACGACCGCACTGCTACGCCATCTTGGATCTAAATACATAGTTATTTTAGATGAACTCTCCCCTCTGGGACAATACAATAATGTGACACACAATCTTGTGTGGAATGTCCTTCCTCAGTTTAAATACATGTGTAAATAGCTTGTTGCCTGTAATAAACCTGGTAGAACACATTCCCCATGGGAACAGTACTTAATCAGACCAACAGCTGGGGTTGACCTGACTGACTCTTGTGAAATGGACGGTCACATCCTGAGCGGTCATCTACTCTGTCGGTCAATGTATGTGGTCCACTACAAACACTAACTGGACCCCTGGACATGACATGGTCATAAACGCCAGAACACAACCTTCCCTATACTCTGAAGTGGAAAGATACAGGAGTTGATACTCTTGTTATGATCATAAAGAATTTTGAAGGACTCAAAGGGTTTTACATTGTATGGGAGTAAAACTTCCTGATGTCTCTATACTGCATCTGAAGGTCAACTGTGGTCCAGCTCATATAAATTATCCTTCACTCTCAGTCTTTGTTGTTCTGAGTGTGTCTATGCCCTTGTTCTGTACACAGAGGGCTGAATTAGGGCTGATTATAGAACAGACAGTGATTGATGCCAGAGGACCTATTCTATGAATACTAATCAGTTTAAAAAGGTACAGGTTCTGACCGGTGTGACTTGAGACCATCAATCCTTTAAAGCGGTAACCTGCAGTTGCTACATCCATTTTGAGACTTTTAAATTAATGAAATATATCCATTGATTCTTGAAGAATATAACTTTTAAATGCCTCATAAACTTAGTTAAACTGTCGTACCCAATCATCTTTTTTTACTCATTTGTTTATAAACATAAACACTGTATTGCCTCAAAACACGGTTAAAACTATAATTCTGATATCATGGATGGTCAGTCCTTGTATCCATAGCTCTGTCCATGAGTTTGAGAGTAGTTACATTTCTCCAGTCAAACCCTCAGCTGTTCACCAAATCAGTGGCAGGGAGCCACTTAGTTATTGTTTGAACTGCAGATTGCCATTTTAAAACAAAAATTATTTGACCTGATGCCCTGCTTGAACGAGGGGAGGTGCTCTAGGATGTCCAATTACATGACGCTCACGTAGCACTGGATATATTTACAAAGTGGCTATATTTACAGAGTGGATATATTTACAGACTGGATATATTTACAGAGTGGCTATATTTAAAGACTGGATATATTTACAGAGTGGCTATATTTAAAGACTGGATGTATTTACAGAGTGGCTATATTTAAAGACTGGATATATTTACAGAGTGGCTATATTTAAAGACTGGATATATTTACAGAGTGGCTATATTTAAAGACTGGATATATTTAAAGACTGGATATATTTAAAGACTGGATACATTTACAGAGTGGATATATTTAAAGACTGGATATATTTACAGAGTGGCTATATTTACAGAGTGGATATATTTACAGACTGGATATATTTACAGAGTGGCTATATTTACAGAGTGGATATATTTACAGAGTGGATATATTTAAAGACTGGATATATTTACAGACTGGATATATTTACAGAGTGGATATATTTAAAGACTGGATATATTTACAGAGTGGCTATATTTAAAGACTGGATATATTTACAGACTGGATATATTTACAGAGTGGATATATTTAAAGACTGGATATATTTACAGAGTGGCTATATTTACAGAGTGGCTATATTTACAGAGTGGCTATATTTAAAGACTGGATATATTTACAGACTGGATATATTTACAGAGTGGCTATATTTAAAGACTGGATATATTTAAAGACTGGATATATTTACAGAGTGGCTATATTTAAAGACTGGATATATTTACAGAGTGGCTATATTTAAAGACTGGATATATTTACAGAGTGGCTATATTTAAAGACTGGATATATTTAAAGACTGGATATATTTACAGAGTGGCTATATTTAAAGACTGGATATATTTAGTGAGAGAGGGAACGAGAGGGAGAATAACAAAGCTAGCAAGCAAGAGGATGAGACAATAGAAAGATCAGAGAGAATGGGAGACATAAATGATTGAGAGAATGAAACAGGGAGAGTAATTTAAAGATGAGAGAAGGATTGAGACTGACAAACTAAAACTGACAGCAAGCGGTTTCTCTGTAAGAAACAGTATGTACTATATAGTGGTATGACTCACCGGGGCCCAGTTTGGCCACAGCATAGAGCAGGTCGTAGTTGATGACGGCCGTGGCCTCGTCTATCTGCTGCCAGCCAATGGGCGGTGAGCCAGGAGGGGAGATGAGGAACTGTTTAGAGGGCTGAGGAGGAGCCAGGTGCAGGTTATCACTGTCTGATACTGGGTTCTGGACCTGAGGGAGGGAGGGAAAGAGAGAGGGAGAGAGAAAGAAAGAAACCAATTCTTAATGAATAGGTTTGAATCCAACGTCTCTTAGTAATGGGCTTGAACAAAAACCTAGTCTACAGGGGTACAGACCCACATCATCGCCACCAGGCCTGTCATTTTATTTTATTTTGACATTTTAGTCATTTAGCAGACGCTCTTATCCAGAGCGACTTACAGTTAGTGAGTGCATACATTTTCATACTGGCCCCCCGTGGGAAACGAACCCAGAACCCTGGAGTTGCAAGCGCCATGCTCTACCAACTGAGCTACAGTTGGTAGTTAGTCATCTTGACTAAAGGCTAATAGGCCTAAATTAGTGCAGATCACATGCAAATTAACCTAATGTAGCAGGCGTAGAAAGACAGCTGAGCGGAGTCCCCACTTTTCAGGGGAAACGGAGGTTAGGTTGATATTAGGTCATCTCTAACTGGAGAATAACTCATGGACTTCTTTCTGCCTCAGCGGAGTGTTTAAGACCCTGATAGCCTTTGGGAAAGGAATTAGACAGGCCTATTGGCTAATGTGGAGCAATCACATGCTGCTGCAAGAAGGACGGCACACACACACACACACACCCTGGAGAGGCTTTTAAAGTTAGTCACACTGCATCGGTGACAAAACGTACACATTTTCCATAAACACATTTATTCCCCTGAACTATACACCATAACTAAAGCTAGTGACAATGTGTCTTAATTCCTCTGTCTGCATGCTACATGTTGCTTGTTCTATGTTGCTCTGCATGTGCTCACTGCTCATGGTTTGTCTGCATTATTATTCGAATTGTTTTTAATAACCTGCCCAGGGGCTGCGGTTGAAAATTAGCCGGCTGTCTAAAACCGGCACTTTTACTGAAACGTTGATTCATGTGCACTGTCCCTGTAAAAATATAAATAAACTCCTTCCAACAATAGGTAACAGAACTATCATAAGGGTAAATCAAAGTCACAGTCTATGGCAGTCAGTTCTGCTTGTTGTACTGTATAACTACTGACCTGGGCGAAGTAGAGTTTGAGCTTCTTGCCCCTGAAGGGCGTTTCGTGCAGCTCTATCCTGGCGCTGGCGGCAGCTTTGGGGTTGCTGAAGTTGAGGCGGACACGCCGGAAACTCTTGAACAGCTGGAATGTCACCCGCTCATCATAGGACAGGAACAGAGCCTCGAACATCTCCTGAACCAAGACAATAAAGAGAGACAAAAACAAACCACAGATGAAGTTGTGCATAATATAGTTTCAGGTGGTAAATGCCAAAGCATGAATAATTCAGATAGTCATACAGTAAGCCCTGAGGGAGAGAGACAATAAGCAGTGTCTGGGGTGAGGTTCCATATTTATCACAGCTGCAGCCTCCACCAGTACCAACAGAATCCTTTCTCCAGGTAATAACCTGTTTATCATGCAGAGAGGATGCTGCAGGTTTCTGTGTTGTTTTATTGGGTGTAGTCTAGATTATGTCTTCTGTTGCCGACCAAATAAATCACCCATTCATTAAGCCTGGCCAGAGAAGAGCAGGAGAGAGAGAGGGGAAAACATTTGTGTGTATGCATGTGTGTGTTTGCACGCACATACGTACGTGTACGTGTGTGTGAGTGTGTGAGTGTGATTGGAATCTATCCGCTCGCTTAGCATTCATTTCCTGCTGGGGAGCAGAGCTAATGAAAGGTGTCTTATCTGAGCATCATCTCCCAGACCTGCCCTGGGCTCCATAGAGAAGAGAGAGAGAGAGAGAGAGAGAGAGAGGGGAGAAGTGTAGTGGATATGGACACAGCGAAGGCAGAGTTGGGGGAGACAGGGACGCAGGGTGGAGGAAAGAGGAGAAGAGAGGAGAAAGAAAGAGGAAGAGGTAGTCATTTCCTCAGACCAGGGGGAATCTCCCACAACCTCAGGGCTCTACAGCCTGATCGCTAACACAACATCTCTGTTACTGTAGCTATGTCTGACCTCTATAACCCCACCTCATAACCCCAGGATAGAATTCATAGGTTATAGCCAGACCAGGTTATATAGGGATGATTGTGTCAAACACTGAATTCTGTGAATTAAGACACTCAACCAAAAAGGAAATCTCCCACCTCAGTTAACTCATATGACTTGTACTTTTCCCAAATGAGACATTCGTTCACAATAACAAGCAGGTTTTAAACACAGCATTTAAGACAGAGCAGAGCATATGGCCTATTTCCCCTCCTTCCTCCCTCCCTCCTTCCTTCCACATGGTGGTGAGCTGAGCTGCTGTTCTAGCAGACTCTAAACGAGCCACCTCATTTAGCCAGTAATGAGTGTGAAGATGAGTACTTTTAAAGAGATAATCTGGTACTTAACTGTGCATCTGAAAAAATATTTGCGCATGTGTAAAAAACAACAACACTTGAACAGGGATTTCATTCATCTCTCTCATGTTTAAAGACAGCCACTATATCCTCCTTAGAAGGATCAGCAATAGTGAGACTGCATGGGCAGGTTACAGAGAGCATGTTCATGCAATGTACAATCAATTCAATGGATCTTTTGTTAGTCAGTTAATACATTCCGTGCCAAGGAAGATTTTTAGATTCAGCTGTGCTCCATCAAATAAACAATGTGACCACATAACATTGTTAAAAGACAACTGTTAAAACTAGTCTGACAGAATAGTTAGTTCCAAGATGTCACATCTCACTCCCATCAAAACATCTATTCACTCCACTTTGAATCAGTCAGATACAATAGTCGTCTATCAGCACGCCTGACAAAGAGAGCGTATTGGCAGCTCGTTATGTCAGAGCCGGTGACAGATGGAAATATGACTTCCTTGGTGGAGCTGGTCGTCACTTTCCAAACTAGTAAATATGTCTCAGAGCTTGTTTCCTGTCAGCATGTGTGAGATCGGTGGCGTGTAGTAGGCTCCTGATGCCGAGTGAGTGTACTGTATGTGTCCTGGGAGCTGACAGCTGGGACTGGTATGTGTCTGTCCTGACTGGGTGGGTGGAGATGAGTGGTGACAGCTCAGTTCAACTTGCTGTACTACTCCCCTCTGACAGGTGAGGGGGTGTAGAATAGAGCTGTATGGTAGAGGAGTACCTGGCTCACTGCAGGTGCCTTGGATCAGCACTTTAACAGTTTCCCTCTGCGTTGTCGGAGTTGTGTGAATTAATACAGCAGCAAATGTTGCTGCTTCACTTTAGAAGTGGTCCTCTGTAGCTCAATTGGTAGAGCATGGGGCTTGTAACGCCAGGGTAGTGGGTTCGATCCCCGGGACCACCCATACGTAAAAATGTATGCACACATGACTGTAAGTCGCTTTGGATAAAAGTGTCTGCTAAATGGCATATTATTATTATAGAAGTGTGTTCAACATTTCACCTCGGTAGCATGTTCTTCTGCCTTTCAATAAGCCAGAGCAGTAGGATGATGTTGCCCCCTTGACACTGATAAGAGGTCACTTTTGCATTCCTCTCCCGGAGAAGTATGTGGCAGGGTCTACAGACAATCACGGACTACAAAAGGAAAACCAGCCACGTCGCCGAGACTGACGTCTTGCTTCCGGACAAGCTAAACACCTTCTTTGCTCGCTTTGAGGATAACACAGTGCCACTGACGCGGCCCGCTACCAAGGACTGTGGGCTCTCCTTCTCCGTGGCTGACGTGAGTAAAACATTTAAACGTGTTAACCCTCGCAAGGCTGCTGGCCCAGATGGCATCCCTAGCCGCATCCTTAGAGCATGCGCAGACCAGCTGGCTGGTGTGTTTACAGGCATATTCAATCTCTCCCTATCCCAGTCTGATGTTCCCACATGCTTAAAGATGGCCACCATTGTTCCTGTACCCAAGAATGCAAAGGTAACTGAACTAAACGACTATCACCCCGTAGCACTCACCTCTGTCATCATGAAGTGCTTTGAGAGACTAGTCAAGGATCATATCACCTCTACCTTACCTGCCACCCTAGACCCACTTCAATTTGCTTACCGCCCCAATAGATCCACAGACGATGCAATCGCAATCACTCTGCACACTGCCCTATCCCATCTGGTCAAGAGGAATACCTATGTAAGAATGCTGTTCATTGACTATTGCTCAGCATTCAACAACATAGTACCCTCCAAGCTCATCATTAAGCTCGAGGCCCTGGGTCTGAACCCCGCCCTGTGCAACTGGGTCCTGGACTTCCTGACGGGCCGCCCCCAGGTAGTGAAGGTAGGAAACAACACCTCCACTTCGCTGATCCTAAACACTGGGGCCCCACAAGGGTGCGTGCTCAGCCCACTCCTGTACTCCCTGTTCACCCATGACTGCGTGGCCAAGCACGCCTCCAACTCAATCATCAAGTTTGCAGACGACACAACAGTAGTAGGCTTGATTACCAACAATGACGAGACCGCCTACAGGGAGGAGGTGAGGGCTCTGGGAGTGTGGTGCCAGGAAAATAATCTCTCACTCAACATCAACAAAACAAAGGAGATGATCGTGGACTTCAGAAAACAGCAGAGGGTGCACCCCCCTATCTACATCGACAGGACCACAGTGGAGAAGGTGGAAAGCTTCAAGTTCCTTGGCGTACACATCACTGACAAAACGGAAATGGACCACCCACACAGACAGTGTGGTGAAGAAGGCGCAACAGAGCCTCTTCAACCTCAGGAGGCTAAAGAAATTTGGCTTGGCACCTACAACCCTCACAAACTTTTACAGATGCACAATTGAGAGCATCCTGTCGGGCTGTATCACCGCCTGGTACGGCAACTGCACTGCCCGCAACTGCAAGGCTCTCCAGAGGGTGGTGCGGTCTGCCCAATGCATTACAGGAGGCAAACTACCTGCTCTCCAGGACACCTACAGCACCTGATGTCACAGGAAGGCCAAAAAGATCATCAAGGGCCTCAACCACCCGAGCCACTGCCTGTTCACCCCGCTATCATCCAGAAGGTGAGGTCAGTACAGGTGCATCAAAGCTGGGACCGAGAGACTGAAAAACAGCTTCTATCTCAAGGCCATCAGACTGTTAAACAGCCATCACTAGCACATTAGAGGCTGCTGCCTATAGACATAGACTAGAAATCACTGGCCACTTTAAGAAATAGAACACTATCCACTTTAATGTTTACATATCTTGCATTACCCATCTCATATGTATATACTGTATTCTATACTATTCTACGGTATCTTGCATTACTCATCTCATATGTATATACTGTATTCTATACTATTCTACTGTATCTTAGTCCATGCCGCGCTGACGTCGCTCGTCCATATATGTATATATTCTTAATTATTTCCTTACTTAGATTTGTGTGTATTGGGTATATGTTGTGAAATTGTTAGATATTACTTGTTAGATATTACTGCACTGTCGGAGCTAGAAGCACAAGCATTTCGCTACACCCGCAATAACATATGCAAAACATGTGTATGTGACAAATACAATTAATTTGATTTGAGATCAAAATCGAGGCAAACTGCTCCTAGATCTGTACCTAGAAGCAACTTCTAGCCAGAGTTAAGGCAAAAGCAGACATAATGTCCCTCCCTGTGTTGCGTCCAACTCATGAACATTAGACTGGGTTCCCTCTGTGTACAACAACATTCCAGTTGAGGTGATGTATCCATCTCCAGGAGTCTAGAGGCTCAGACCCACACCACACAGAGGAGGGAAGGGTTCCATCAGCAGCAGGCCAGTGTGTGGATCTGAGCTTGCTTAGCATGGAACTTGTCACACATGAAACCTGATCCACCAATCAGTAACATCACCCTCTGGGTCAGGTTTACGTTCCATCACTAGGGCTTTAGCTTACATAGGCCTAATGGCATTAAAATACCTAGCCTGTTCTTTAGTCTGTTCCGCAGAGAGGGCATTGTGAGTGTAATTTGAGAATAGATCACATTCCTTTACAAATATGGACAGCGAGGTGAGGAGTGGAGGAGAGGAAAAGCGAGGGAGGGTTTCGTTGGAGCTGGAATGGAGAGAACATAGCTTTCTAAAAATACTCCTCTCCCGCCCGCCCGCCGACCGATCGATGCATTACCAAAGAACCGGTGGGCGCATACCTCCTAGTTAAGGAAATGGCTCAGGCACATTACTGGTGGAATAATGCACGTTGTTCAGGAGGAGAGATTGATAAAAAGTGTAATTCTGAGGTAGGTAGTTAGAGAGACTGAGGCGGAGGCCTTGATGTCATCTAGACGGGCATGTTTGTGTGTGGTGTACAGAAATAGTTGTGATAAAGAGAGTATAACCTCTCTGACAT